TCTCCACACAGATTATCAGCAAAAATATTGGAAATTGAAGGTGATATTTCAATATTAGGCATTTCAAACTGAAAAACCATACGTAAGGTAGCATGAGCAGTATCTCATATATCGTCATAAATGTTACCAGATCTGAATGTTTTTGCTTTGAAATCTATATTGTCTATTACTGCCAAGTTCCAAATATTCGGTCCTGACTTTATTCTTTCTCGTGCATTTGTTTCTAGCATGCGATTTCTTTGAACTTTCACCTCATAATCTTTTGAGTATGCCACTACATTTGCAGCACGAAGAATAGCATGCAAATACGATGCAAGCTTGGGTCGTTCACAAAAAGATCCAACTATTTGTGGAAGCCAAAATTTCCAGCTTCTGAACGCATGTGTTAGAATGACAGAAGAAAGAAAAGATGTGCTTTTCACTATTTCACTCTTGTCTAGTTCAGTTACTGTGGCCTTGTGTTCTTTTTGTTTTCGTTTAACTATCTCATGATTTTTAAGTTGCATAGTGAGAATTAAACCATCAAAGAAGCTTGTTAAACATTTTGGCATTGCTTTATAATATTGTTGTAAAGAATCAGGACTCTCTAATGTCTCCTTATGCGAAGATAAACTAGTGCGTGACCTTAAAATTTCAAGGGCAAGTGATTTTCCAAATTCTTCACATTTTTTAGGCTTCAATGTGAATTGTTTTAATTGTTTAGAAAAATCTAACCCTTTGACCTTGAAAGCTGTATTAACCACAAACAGACTAGGTAATTTATTTATTTGTGCCGGTGTTGAATTCAAGTCAAAGTTTTTTAGACATGGATACAGGGCTTGAAGTAAATGTTTTTTCACATTATCATCTTTTAACTCTGCCATCATCTCAATCAGCCTTGCAAAACAATGAAGAGCAGTTGTAGTATTATTCGAATGTTTTGCAATACATCCAACATCTACAATATTTCCTGAGCCATAACGTACGTGCAAGTGCCCTCCATTCTTTTCATAACACTAGCAGTACACAAAACGAACTCCTCGCGAATTTTCTGTATTTTTTGTATCTGTACTATTTTTAATAGCTGGGCAGAGAACCATTTCACAGCAAGGTACCTGTATTGTCTGATTATGTAAAATCCATGTATGTTCTAAACAACTTACTCCACGACTAAAAAAAACTCTTTTTTTGTGATAGAAAAAGCAGATACGAGAATTGATTTGACTTCTATCAGTTGGGCGTTCGCTTTTTAAATTTTTTCTGTGTACAGTATTTTGATCGTAATTAAAATGCCTTGAACAGACTCCAAAAAGTTGAAGTTGTCTGTTAACTTCTTCAACAGCATTTGCATCAATTTTCCAAACACTAACAAGTTCCTGCAATCTCTTATTGCTAATTCTATTACAGCGACGTATCTCTCCATAATCATTATCAATTATAACGCACAGTGTAGTGGGTTTTTGTGTAGTCGCAGGAATTTCTTCGCTATATTCACTGCCAATTTCTTCAATTTTCTCAATTTCCTCATAGTTAATATCCTGCCCAACCGTATCTTTAGCATTAAGCTCTTTCCATGGATCGTCTTCATGTTCTGTTAGGTCTAAAGCTCGCTCATACAAGTTTTGCTTGAAATTAAATAGAGGGTCATCATTATAGTTATCTTCATTTTCTAGAGTTTGAACGTCTGTTAAAAACTCTTGTAATTCATCCTGGTCACAGTGAAGCAAAGTTTCTTGCAAATTGTATGAGGGATTAGTGCTCATTTTTTGACAATGCAAGTTAGATCAGGTAAAGTTATTTGTTCTTTTTATTTGAAGTGTTTTTTTATTAATTTGTTTGTTATTAATTTGTTAAAATCAAAATTGGGAAAAAATGGCACCTTTTATTGATTTGAGAGAATCGCAGTATCTTTGAAAAAAGGGTTCAATAGTGTATTTGCCAAAGAAGTTAAGTTTTCAATTATGCATAGAGTTGGAAATAACCCAATAAAGAATTTCAACAAAGTAAATGGGTCAATGGAACTCAATGAAGAATTTCAACGAAGTCAATGGATCAATGAAAAATTTCAACGAAGTCAATAGATCAATGAAGAATTTTAATAAAATCAATGAATAGGTCAATGAAAAATTTCAATGAAGAATTTCAACAAAGTCAATAGATCAATGAAGAATTTTAACGAAGTCAATGGGTCAATGAAGAATTTCAATGAAATCAATGAATAGGTCAATGAAGAATTTCAACGAAGTCAATGGGTTAACAGAACTTAATGGATACTTATTCATTGAGACTTCTATTAATTTTTTTTTTTCTAATAGTAGTAAAATTACCAACAATAACATTTGGAACTATTTTTATCAAACTTTTTAGATATGAATGAAAAAAACTTAAAATTTTGTTTAGAAACATCAGCCGAAATAATTTTATAATACATTCACCTTTATTTAGTCATTAATTATAGAATAACACTGTGCATTAAAATTAAATGTTTAATAATTTATTAATTCAAAAAAAAATATAACAATAAGAGGTCATATTTTAT